ACAGTATGATTTAAAGTAACAGGTACAACATTGTTCCATGATTTATATATTGCCAACCCAACCGTTAGATTATATTCCTAACAGGAAGGGAGCTTAAGAGGTCCTCTAGTCCAACCCACTGACAGAAGATTTTCCAGCCTTCGTTTCAAAATTTCTAGCTGCAACTAAACATTGCATTTCATGGTCAGTGGCGAGGGATGCTGGGAAACGTAGTTTAACAAGGGGCATCCCGCTCTTTCTGATTTCCGGATCCTTGGGACCGCCAGTCCCTTGATTGTTGCAACCGGCAGGGAGCTGGGACTTTCTGTGGGAGACGCTGAGATGTTGGGTGAATTGAAAATACGAAGGGAGAAAAACGTAAACCCTGATGATTGACAACTGAAATGTAGGAAGATGTTCTGTCCTAGGCTTCCCCAGCACTCACGAAGCCGAGTCCTCGTCCTGATAAACCCCTTTTATTTAATTGACAGTGAATTCCTCTCCAGCCAAATCTTTCCTCTCCCAGTCTTTCAAGATAGTTCACACTTACCGACCTTTATCAGGTTGGGAGAGTGGCCGATATCTTTCAGACACCGCAATACTTGGCAAGAATTCAGGAATGAATTAATGATCTCCTGCAAGCTCCACTCCCCTTTTGCTCCTCTTTTATTCCCTATGGGAGGGGCCATTCACCGTCCACCTGTGTCCTTAGGGTCCCGAGTCGACCCTCATTCCTTAGCCGTTCCCTTCGTCAGGCAGTGCCACCCATGTCCCTTTCCGACGGGAACACTGCAAAGCCAAAAAAAATCCACACCGCTTTTCTTGCTACTAACCAAACTGCCTCCATCATTTAGTCCCCTCCAGCCAACGCTCGGTGGCATCCAGATGCCCGGAGCCTTGGTGGAGGGGAGGAGGGGGGCAAACTGGCATGAAGAGCTTGATGCTACAGCATGCGTCTTGCAATGCACGGCCTGAGCTATCTCAATGTTCCTGTTCTGTTCCTCATTGTGTGCTGCAGTATGATTAGGGCTGGTTGCATAGCTAGCCAGATGTGTAAACTGGATTTGGCCTTTTTATCCACCTACCAAGTCTATATGGAGGGGGGGGGGTTAAGATGCTGAGCTTGTCAATCAGAAAAGGTCGGCAGTTCAGCAGTTCGAATCCCCAGCGCCGCATAACGGAGTGAGCTCCCGTGACTTGTCCCAACTTCTGCCAACCTAGCAGTTCGAAAGCAGGTAAAAAAAATGCAAGTAGAAAGAAATAGGGACCACCTTTGGTGGGAAGGGAGCAGCGTTTGATGCGCCTTCGGGAGTTGAATCCTGCCGGCCACATGACCACGGAGACGTCTTTGGACAGCGCTGGCTCTTCGGCTTTGAAACGGAGATGAGCACCGCCCCCTAGAGTCAGGAACGACAATCACATATGTGCAAGGAGAACCTTTCCCTTTGCCTTTTACTTTACCAAGTCGATCCCAATGACGACGGATGATTATTTACAATTTCTGAGCACCAGAGTGCAGGAAAAGGGCCTAGGAAGAAAACTCCCACCTAAGGAAAAGGATTCAACCCGTCTTTTTCCAACTTTCTGCAAATTGTCCAGCTTCCTCTTCCATCCTGTCCCATTTTTGCTGTTTTCGGCATTTACAGATCAAGCTCTGAACCAGTTCAAGATTTTTCCTGCGAAGTTCTAAATTAAAACTTAGTTGGAGAGCCAGAGACACACAGATAGCAAAATGCCAGTTTGCAATATCTCCTAGGTCATTTAAAGGCTGAAGAAGGCTCCAGGACTTCTGTTAGCCCTGCAAACTTGCCATTTTTGCCTCGGCTGTTGCTCCTTGCTACGTTTTGCTCAGTTCACAGGCCTCTGTATAAAAGTTTTTTTTTTTTTTTAAATCCTTGCTCTTAGAAAACAGCAAATTCATGCAGGATGCACATTTTGCCAAAGATAAGTCCTTTAGAAGAGAATGTTTGTAGCTCAGGAGTTGAACTTTGTCCTCTCTGAGCTTGCAGATGTTTCAATACCCAACTGGATAACATCATCAGTGCTAGAAGGAGAGAGCGCAAACCCCAATCAGTTGTGGCCCACCAGCAGCCAGCGAATCTGGCAGTAGATTCGGAGAGTGAGGAGGTTGGGGAGGAAGATGGGCCGGTCCTGGAGTCTG